GAATATACTATTTGTCGTCAGAATCCTCTCAAACTCGATGGAATATGCTCAACGTCGTCGAAATATGGCCACCATCGTCGGAATCCGATCACAGTGATCGGAATATGCTTACCGTCGTCGGAATCTGGTCATCGGGTCTGGAATATGTTTATCATCTCCGTAATCCGGTCACCGATGGTCATCGAAGTTTGGTCAACGATCTTCATTGACCGGTCAATAATCAACGACCACCGGATGTCATGGTTTGCATTGTGCGATTTATGGTTTGCTTTCTCGTGTTTTTTGTATGCCTTTTGTGGTTTGCTTTATCGTGTTTCTGGTTTGCATTAAGAAGTGTCTAGTGTGCTTTCAAAAACTTTATGGTGTGCTTTGCGAGGTTTCTGGTTTGTTTTAATATATTTTTGGTATGCATTAGGACGTTTCTGATTTGTTTTTTGTTGCATTAGTAGATTTCTGGTGTGCTTTCAAAAATTTGGTGGTTTGCTTTGAGGGGTTTCTAGTATGTTTTAGTGGATTTGTGATATGCATTAGGGGGTTTCTGGTTTGCTTTTTGTGGGTTGTTTTATCGCATTTGTGATTTGCATTGGGAGGTTTTTGGTGTGTTTTAGAAATAATTGTGGTTTGCTTTGTGGTTTACATAAAACTGCAATTTTGAGTGCATTGATAGTACAAAAAACTACGTATTGAAGCCTTGCTTACATCGCCAACAACAATACCCTCGTAGCAAGATGGAGCAACCTAAAAAAGAAAAGGGGGGGGGGCTAATGGAAGGTTTTGTTGTGCACAAACTTGAAAGAAACTCATTCGGTAGGAGTTGGTAGAACATTAACACACAATTGTTGCGAAGAAGGAGAATCTCATATAGGCGGTGGCACAAGACTCTGGTCCTTCATCATAGGAGTTCAATCTCAGTGGCGAGAGGTTGGGATTGTGGTGGCTTTGGCTTCAGGAGTTTAACGATGGACACCAAGATGATGCCCAGCGTCATGAGAACTGAGAAGCTCGACGCAGGAGGCAAGAATGACTATTCTGTTAGCGAGATTGGTGAAGTAGACGAACCACTCCTATTGTTCGACGAGTGCGATGACGGATTCACCATGGATGGGGTTCCTTCATCTCGTGGCCTCAGTAGAGACAACGAAGTTGAAACTCTGGCGAGGGTTTTGATTTTTTAAGGAAAGCCGAAAGGGGAGAAGAAGAACCGAGATCTAGCGGGACTGTGAAGGAGGGGTCTGTGGTTCAGAGCGGAGGGCAAAATGCGTATGGTTAATTTTTATTTTATTATTTTCATTGTTAATTTACCATTTTACCATTAATGAATCATGTTGTTATTATAACAACACAAAGAGTGTTGTTGTAGTATTCGAACCCGAGATCAAAGCAGGCCAGAATGCTTTCATCCAAGAAAGACAAATTATGAAGAATGTTCTCCTAAGGCACAAGCTAATGCATTATCTGAAAATCAAGAACCGAGGGAAGAAGGGGTACATGGCTCTAAAGGTTGACATGGAAAAGGGCTATGATAGAGTCAAATGGCCCTTTCTCCTTGCGGTTTTGGACAAATTAGAATTCCATCATACTTCGATACGCTGGATACAAGAATGACTCAATTCGTCATCGTTCTCGATTATGATGAACGATACGTCATATGGGTTCTTTAAGCCCTCGAGAGGACTCCATCAGAGTGACCCGTGTCCCCCTCTTGTTTGTGTGTGCATTGAAGGATTTGCGGCCTTTATTCGCAAAACCATTTCAGTGGCAGTGGGTAAATTATAAGGGGTAAAAGTTGCCCCGCGGGCCCCTAGGATTTCTCACATGTTTTTCGCCAATGACTCAAACTTATTTCTCAGAGGCTCGCTGCAAAAATGTGAGAACCTCATCGAGGTGTTAAATGAATATGAGGAACTCAGTGGACAACGGGTAAACTTGAAAAAATCAGCGATTTGTTTCAGTAAGAATAAATCCATCCCGGACCAAGAATTCATGGCTCTGATTCTGGGGATGGGGGGCAGTGGGAGTGCAGAATAAATATTTGGGGCTGCCCACCCTGATAGCCCAGTCTAAAATGGCCACATTCGCATTTTTTGAGGAAAGGCTATCGAAACGGCTCCAGGGTCCACAAGACGTTATTATGTGCGGCAAAGGAGACTTTGATTAAATCGATAGCCTCAGCTCTACCGCTGCAAGTCAATTCCTGTTTCAAACTCCCACTATCTCTTTACCGAATCTTGGATAGTCTTGTGGCGCGGTTTTGGTCGAGGGTAGAGGACAATCATTCCTGGATCCGGTGGATGTCCTGGCTTAATATGTGTCAAAGTAAACATGATGGGGGCATGGAGTTCCGAAGATTCGATCATTTTAATCAGGCATTATTAGCCAAGATTGGCTGGAGAATACTAAATGATCCCCATTCTCTCCTCACGTAGGTTTATAAAGGGAAATATTTTCCTACAAGAACTTTTTCTCACCGCTACCGTGCGGTCTCGTCCCTCTTGGGGTTGGCAGAGTATCCTCTACGGACGTCAATTATTAGTGAGGGGGTTTCGTTGGCAGATTGGGAATGACCGGTCGGCTTCCATATTGCACTCTAGTTGGATTCCTCCGACTGCATCCCGGAGGAGGGTGATCTTAAGGTGGCAGAAGTAATTAACCCTAGTGAGGGATGATGGTCCAACATTAAACTAGCCCAGTGGTTCCACCCAGACACTTATCGTGCTATCCAGACTATCCCTTTGCCTCGCCAGGATATCGAGGGCAAGCTGATCTGACACGATATGTGTGATGGGCATGATTGTCACACTGGCCGGCGTGTCATCAGTTGTACCGGGTTCAACCGATATCGGTCATAAAACCGGCGTGACACCACCGGTATGACCGGCATGATCGATATACGAATCTTTAAGTAAAATGACCTTATTTTAGAGAATTTAATTGATAAAAATTATTTTATTATTTATTTTATGAGTATAAAAGTTAAATATTGATGTTATTTGTTGGATTCAAGTATAAATGTTTAGGTATTGACGTTAAATGTCATGTTTAAATATGAGTATTTATATTTTTATTTGTAATATTGACCGGCATGAACCGGCACAAACCGGTATGTGCCACCGGTTGAACCATTCCACTTGCTAAACCGGCACACTGGCATCAGTGGCGGATCCAGAATTTTTTTATAGGGGTGTCCTCTTCAAAAAATTAAATAATTAAATAAATAATATATAAATAATAAAATATCCAATTAGTACAAATGTTGACAAAAAGCCACGATATGTTTTCATATTTTGAAAAAAAAATATGAAAACATATCGTTATATCCTACTAGATCGCATATTCAATTTCTAACTTTGTTCATGATGTAATTCAAAGTTGAAAAAAATGTTTCAACACTTGCAGTGTAACCATAAAATAAATTCAACTTAGGGGTACCTCTGGGGATAAGAAATCTTTTTTTTTACAATAGAACAACAAATGAGTTATAACCTAATGGAGATGATGTTTAATAATAGGAGTGTCCTAGATTTGAATAACACAGAGTACCACTATCGAGGGTATAATCATTTATTAAAATTTTAGGGGTGTCCCAGATTACGAATTATATTTTGTTTATCCATACGAAACTACTACTGGGGGTTGAATAATCGTGTTCCCAAAATTTAGGGGTGTCCCGGGACACCCCTAAAGCACCATGTATCCGCCACTGACTGGCATAAACCGGTTTGACAACCTTGGTGATGGGATTTTCATGGTAACATCAGCGTATAACCTGACTGTACTGTTGGATAAACAACATGGTAGGTGGCGTCCCACGGCTAGTTGGGTGGATAGGCAAAATTGGATACATTTGTGGGATTCCTCGATTCCTCTCAAGTTGAAGATCTTCTTATGGAAAATCTTTCACTGAATCCTCTCGACAATGGAAGCCCTCACTAAACTCCCAGGTGCCCGGTATGTTGGGTAGAATCCAAAATGATGGAGCATATCTTTCTAGAGTGCCTTGTGGCCAGAGCTTTGTGGGATCATGCTGGTCTGGAACATTTTGGGCAAGGGCTACCGTGCCATACTTTCCCGCTTTTCCTGAAAAGTCTGATGGCTCTCATCCAACACCCGGACCAATTTATGGCGTTTGTCATTATGCTTTGGCGGATCTAGAGGTCTCGCAACTTAGTTGTCTTTGAAAGCAAACAGTTTGGGATCCCAACTCTGATGTGTCAGTACCACCAGCAACTTCATGAATGGATTAATCTTCCAGTGGAGAGGGTGATGCGGCCTCCCGCACCTGGGGTTGGTAGCGTGCACCTAACCTTCCTTGGTTCTATTATCTGTATGTGGGATGAGGCTACGAGTTGTGGGGATCCTTCGGCTAGAGGAATGACTATCCATGATCAAGGTTGGGAGGTCATATTGGCTAAGGGAATCCATTTTCCTGGGATTGATGATCCTATGGTAGACTGGTAGTGGAGCTCCTGGTCCTCCGGGAAGTGATTCTGTGATGCCTGCAAAGGGGTTTCTCGATGGTAAGATTCGAAGGTGATGCCAAAGTGGTTATTGATAGAATCAACCGAGCTAATGATTGTGATAACCAAGCTCGTGCAATTTTCCAAGAGGTTCTACAGTGTCTGGCTTATCACATAGGGTTCACTATTCGATTCGTAGGTCGGCGTAGTAATAGGGTAGCCCATTTGATGGCTCGTAAGACCCTTTCATTGTACCCGACCGCTTGTCGTTTATTAAATTTTATTACTTGATTGAATTCCAGAATGTAATGATCTATCATTCAATCAATATATGATTATGTTTTGTATAAAAAAAATAATCAGTAACTTACATCCTGAAATTATTTTTCATTCATTAAGAGACTGCTCCAACGCTGCCAATATTTGGCGTGAGATCCTTCCATTCAACCCATTTGATTTCTTCAGCTTTTCTCTTTGACAACGTAAATCGTTATGGGATTCAGGTGGAGTGACTGGTATTTGGCGGTTATGTGATCTGTCATTTGCTGAATTTGTTTCTTATTTTCCATTTGTACCCACAAAAAAAAAAAAAAAAGATAATCAAGGAAACCGCAATGAGGAAGATGTACCATCGACATAAAAATAGAAAAGGAACGATGCATCAACAATTATGTTACAGGCTTACAGCATCTGCAGCCGCAGTAACAATCCTACTACATATAAAGCTTGACTACACAGAGGAGAGCCCCCCATTACGCTTCTCTCTTCCCAAACAAACACACTAGTTTTTCGACGACCTAAAATGGGCTGATGTGCCCAGCCAACCTTAACAAAACCTCTGGAACCAGCCGTCTCCTTGCAGGTGCCTTGGCATCTTTGGCAAGAGCTTCTGCATCCCCAGCGTGTATTGCGGCCACTATGTGTTCGAACAAGTCGTCTTTGCCACCTCTCAAAGGATCCTGCAAACATCAAAGAGGCAACATTTGATTCCATGGACTGAGATGGCTTCAAGGCAACTTTTAGTTTTAGCATCATAACAATACTCGACTGCCGCTAATAACCCACCCCCCAAACTTACTTGCAGAAACAAGTCAGTATGAGTTTTTCCTTTGTACAGAACAAGCTCCGCCTTAGCCCCTAAGCTTTGAAGAGCATCTACAAAATCCTCACTGCATAATGGAAGTGTCAAGTTAGAACTTCCAAAGACATTTGCTTTCGCTAAATCACAAAGTACGAACCAATTTCAACATTAAGCCAAACGGGTCCTAAGTTGATAATCGAGATGGCGGGTAAAGAAAGCCATTCCATCACAAGCACATTTGCATCATAATAATGCTGAAAGAAAATAAAGGCTCTCCGACCTCGCGCATGGTGGCATTGATCTGTCTGCAGTTCCATGAAAAAGGACGATGGGCGGCAAATGACAAACGGCAGCTTTGGCACTTGGATCTTTTAGTTTAACTTCAGGCGAAAATTTAGGCAGTGATTCCTCACCCTCCATTATGCTATAGCCACACATAAGATGACTTGGATAAGGCGACAAATTTGCGCAAACACTGATCGAAAATGTAACAAAAGTTGACGAGTTGGAATTGTGCAGTAGGTTCCTGGGAAGTTACCTTAAGAAAAGGGAGCGATACAGACCACGGTTGTGGAAATGGTCAACCAACTTTAATAGGTTGTACCTGAAAATATGGAAGTCATAAGCATTGTTGACGCTCCATCATGTTGGAAACTCAAAGGCCAGATTCAATACAGTGAATGCATATGCTTATCAATATGGTTAAAACTTAAAAGTGCAATTTAAGCTCTCCTTGAATTTGACAAGCTGATAAATGTTCAGTGTTCACGAGTGCTGGCCAGTCGACATACCCTCCAGATAAACCAAAATAGGCTTTCATTTGGGAGACACTCCAGCATGTGCCCTTCTCTCCCTTTGCCTCCTTAAAAGCCTGATCCAAGAGAGCACATGAGGAAATATGTGCACCAGCGGATTGCCCCATTAGATAGATCCTGCTCAATAAAATGAAGAGATTAAGAACCAAAATTGAAGAGAGGGTGGGAATTGGGAAGCAGAGGCATCATTATAGTCACCTGTCAGGGTCGCCGCCATATGCAGAGATGTTGCTGCAGATAAACGAGATTCCTTCAGATGCATCTGTTACCATATCACTTATTGTTCCCTGGGGAAAATTTCTGCATAAGGAAGAAAATGACTGTAAAGGATGCAGGTCAAAGTTTGTCCATTGTCAGTAAGTACTGGTCGAGTACAGTACTAATTAGTAGAATTACAGATTTCTAAGTTCTCAAACAAACAAACAAAATTCCTTGGAGAAAAGCAGCTATGAGCTCCTATCTACATGTGGGAAATATCTTATGCTCCAGTTGATCAAAACACACAATTTCACACTCATGCTTCATGATTGATCATCTCAGTTAGTGACAAAATATTCCGCATCTAGGATCATTCTTCTTGTGGAGATAATAGAAGGGGAAATGAGTAGAGAGATTCAACCGCAAACACTTAACTGTTTTCGACATTTCAACAATACATAACTATTACTGACAAAGCCAACATGCAAAGCTATTCAACAAGTTCAGTGATACTTCCACCACATACCTATAATCGATGCATGCGACAATGATGTCTCTCTCTGCCAACTGCTTCCCAAGAAATGCACCCCATGCTTTGTACCTTGAAGAGCACACATACACATAAAATTAACACAAATGGCAGCACCTTGATGTTGGTCTGATATTTAAGTGTATATTTTCCATTTGAAATGTGTATGAGTTCCCAATAACGAAAACAAATTCAAGCCCGTAGGAAGGGCACATAAGGATCCAATAATTCCAAATCAACGTTTTAATACAAGAATCAAGGAATGAAAAGTTTTGGCCCTTCAGCTTGTACAGGTACCAATGAAAGCCTTCACCAACTCTTCTTTAGGATAGTTACCAATCCTACCACACCTTATCAACTTGCATTCCAATTCTTCAACATGCATCCAAGTCTCCACACCTTATTAACTTGCATTCAAAGTTTTCATCATGTTTGCACACTATGATGTAGTGAGTTAAGAAGAAAAAAAAGCCAATTACACACCCTATAATCCAAGCACCACCAGTTACGAAAATGACCACTGGCTTTGGTTCATCAATGTTTGCAGGAAAATGTAGATCCAGCCTGTAAAATTGCCATGAGAGGCAAAGTGAAGCGTTAACTTGACTTCTTTCAAGAGACATGAAAATATCACAACTCATAAATTTATCAGATTCGTATACCGGTTTCTGGGTTGGTCACCATATGTGATGCTACGCCTCACCTGGCTTGAAAAGTAGTAGTAATATGCAACTGCAGAAATTAAGATCCAAGTTATGATCCTCCCTAACATTTATGTTACTAGTTCCTATAATGGCACAGTTGAATTTCATTCAACTATTATCACTCATTATCTTCAGGTTTTAGTTCATGTCTTCTAATTGAGATCAGAATGAAGAATAGAACGAGGGAAGAAGGTAAATGAAGGAAAACAATAAATGTGGGCAAAATCCAACATCATATACGGTGGAAATGAGAACGACAAATGAACACAATTCCATCATACACGCTGCTCTAAGATTTTGGCAATTGCAATCTCACATTATTCAGCTTCCTAGGTGACAAAAGCTAGACAGATAGTACAGCTAATGAAATTGAAATCAGAATGAAGTATCACTATAAAAATAATCAGAGGCAAATGACTTGATATATCATTCCTTTTAGTGGCAAATGATCACCAAGATAAGCATTTTCCACCAAGATCATGCTTTTACAATAGTCCAATTCAAAAGTATGCTAGTGGACGATAAATATGGTTATAGCCATCCTGTGCAGCTCAAAGGAACTTGCTACATTCTTACTCATGCCTACCTAAACGTTGGAAGGCATTGAAGCGTATTTAAGTATTCATGGGCACTACCAAAAGGTTTCTTGATCAACAATGCACACACCAGCAGGGTTCCATAGAAAAAGTTAACAGATGTAACTAAACTGTCAGATGACTTAATGGTAAGTCTTTGAAGAAGAATACCATCGGCAGAAACGAAGTTTCGCAATTCATGAGTAAGGAACAGAAAGAGATAATTTCTCATAACTAAATTCGTGTAATAAAGCAGAGACACCGACCTTGAAGGAAGCCAGGCATTAGAAGCATTGCATAAAGGGCAAGAGCGGCTAATCTCGTGATCCATCGATAACCTAGCCTGAACAAAAATGATTGATCAAAAGCTGACATGCCAATTGAACTCCTATAGCTGAAGTTAAATTCTAGAGAAGCAGCAGGGGCAGCAAGTGTTAGTTATACATGACAGTTCCCCTAAAAAATATTACAACATCCAGGCAAGACCTGGGCCACATGACCACCCCAATCAATATATGAAAAAACAACCAACACCAGGAGGAAAATATAGGTGGAAAATCAACAAGCATACACATGATCTAAAAGAACTTATAATGACTTAGCTAATGATTCTAAGCCAGCACCTAGTAACTGCATAATTGCATCAGCTGGAATGGGCCCAAATCATTAGGCGCAGAAAAGATCCTCCATGATGTTAGATCAACAACAAAGAAATGATGTATCAGATCCGCCATAAAGTTGTTTTCCCCAACCACCTTCCCCAAAAATTGAACAGTAAAACCTGAACATGAAACTTCCTAAACCCACAACCATAACAACGAAGAATTAATGATTATACCTTTCAGAGACTCTAGTTTCCTACAGTAATTCTCCAGATCCTAGAATCTAGACTCGACAGAAGTACACTACCAATTCATCATCAAACAGTAACCAATCACAAGGCAAAAGCAAACACCAAAATGCTCCCGTTTCTGCACCTCAAATTCCACAGGATCGTCGCAACCTAACTGAGAGAGAAGCGTCGAAACAGAAAAAGCACAGACACTGACGGGCGTATCCGTCAAGGTCAGCCTAGCCTAGTGGCTAGTACTCATGCCAACATTTCCAATCCCAGCTCTCATGGCAGAGAATATAATAATACCCGAGGTATCGGAGAAGCTTGATTGCGAGTCGAGTGACGAGGTAAGTTTCGCAGGCTGCGTGGCCGATGTCTTGACGGAAGGACTTCTGCCTCTGCGGCCGTCTCAGCTTTGCCACCGTACGTCGACGCGGTTGCTGTTGGTGGTGGTGATGCTGTGCAGAAACCAAATTGGCGTCCCTGGAGAGCAGCGTCTTAGTGTCTGTTTCGTCGTCGGCCACCTTAGTTACGGAACCGGAGGAGGAAGGGGAGACCGCACGGCGGCGATCTGCGGCCTGAAGAATGGCCGGAGGAGGCGAAGAGCTGGTCGAAACCGCCATCAGCGCCGTCGGAAGACGGGCGGATGGCTGGGGAAGAAGAAGTTGGAATGATACCCTTTCTTGAACGGGGAAGAGGAGGGGGGGAATTCGTAGGCTGGAATGGGAGGTTCTCTCCGGCGAGCCGAGGCAGAGAGGATTCTGGATGAAAGAAAAAAAAATATAATAATAATATTTGCGGCCCCAAATGATGCCTGCTAGGTTGTCGAAGGTCGAAATCCGAGCCGATTTTTTAAAACAAAGGTTTAACAATTAACGTCTGGAAAGCCTGAAAGAGGAAGGAGCTCTTTATTGAGCGGAATAGAATCTGTGAACTTTGTAGTTTGTAGTAATAACTAACTAATAATTTTTGGAATATCATGCAGAAAGTGTCCAATAACATGCAGTATTTGAAGAAAATTTTGATGCTGCAGCCGAAAATGTGTCATATTCCATCTTGCAAACTAATGTGAATGGTGGTTTTGAACAGTGAATTGTTAAATGTGGTTGATTTTTAAGAATACACGACTTTGGAAATCAATGATTTATTTAAAATATGTGTGGTTTAAATGACTTTTTATATAGTAGGTTGGTTACAAAATGGTGAATTATCGGTCTTACGAATTAAATATTAAAGTTCTCTCATTTTTCTTGTGATTATTTCGTGTCTTTGCCGCTTGTTGAAACCCGAAAATTCTTATTGCACTTTCGATGTCGCCCCGACCAGAATACGGAATGCGTCCCTTTTCGATCCACAGATTCCCCGCGCCTCCTCCACCAAAGGTTTTTCCGACGTCTTCCTCCTGATTCTGACCGAAGAAAAAAAAGAGGCTTGGGAAATATATTCCCCCCACCCACGGAGGGAGGGAGGGAGGGAGGGAGGGAGGGAGGGAGGGAGAGAGAGAGAGAGTGACGGCGTCGCGAGAGAGGATTTTCTGATGATGGGATTTTCCAACGACAACAGCAGTTTTGTTATGTTTGTCGGACTATTTTTTAATGTTTGTAACTCTAGTTTCTAATTTTTTATCATTTTTTATTATTCTAGTTGTCATTTTTATCTATTATATTTGTAATGTGTATATAGTAAACTTTTATATATTGTAATTTGTAATGTTTGTTTGTCTAGTTTTTATACTTTATGTTATAATTTGTATACTTTGTATTCATTGATTGTAATACTTTATTGATTTGTATCGTAAGTAGTGACATTTTCTACTGTGTGTATGTTTTGTAATGTTTGTCGATTATTTTTGTAATGTTTGAAGTTTTGTTATTTTTGTATTGTTTGTCGGGTTCTTTTGTAATGTTTGTAAGCTTTGTTATTTTGTCCAACATGTTTGTCATTTTTGTCAACCAAGTTTGTAATGTTTTTATGTCTAAAAAATAACATAGTTGACTTTTGGACAGAACTCCCCTATATAGAGATGAAGCATCTAAAGTCAACCCAGTTGTTTTCCATTTTGTATGGTTTGTCGATCTAGTTTGTCATTTTTGTCCACCATGTTTGTAATGTTCGTATATCTAAAAAACAACCGGGTTGACTTTGGGACGAAACTCCTCTATACAGGGATGGAGCCTCCAAAGTCAACCTGGTTGTTTTTAATTTTATATGGTTTGTATTGTTTGTTCGTTTAGTTTGTATTGTTTGTTGGTCTTGTTTGTATTGTTTGTCGATCTAGTTTGTATTGTTTGTATAGTTCGTATGTTTTGTATTGTCTGTTAATCTGTTTGTATGTTTTGTAGTTCTAGTTTGTGTTGTTTTTACTGTTTGTAAGTTCAGTTTGTATACTTCATAATTTTTCATAACACACAAATTACCCCTGTCAATAATTAAAATCTCTTCTCACTTTTTAACCGTTAGATTGATTTGTCTAGATCTAAGGGCTAGGAGGGGCTTAGTCATGGGATTAGCTCTCTTTACTATGGATAGGCCTCGAAGCTCAGCCTATTGAGTCACTGAAACTTCTCCTTCAGAATCCCCGACAAATTCCCTCATGGTGGATTTTTTTTTCTTCGTAGCTCATAATACCAACCTGCTCAAATACCACTATTGGAAACCTCGTGATCTAGGGCGTTCTCGAGTCGGGTTCTGAAATTAGGAATTGAATTAAGAATAGAGATTTAGGGACTGAGATAGATAATTGGACATTATGATAAGAATTTAGGGGGATTGAAGCCTGAATTGGGGAAGAAGATGGAAGAACAATCGAGGCATTCAATGAGAGAAGGACGTAATTTCAGAGGATTGAGATAGCTTAAAGTTTGAGGATAATTTTTGTAATATTCGTCTTGATTGATTATACAACATGTCTCAGTCAACTTCAAATTGAACGTTCTACTTGGTCGGGGATAAATATATTGGGATCCAATCACGGCACATATATATAAGTCATCTTGAACGGGCTTGTCGTGCAGATGAATGAACATGCTCATTGTAATTGAATCGAGACCCAACTTTGGCTGGAATTTCTTACAAGTGACACATATTTGTTAAGAACCAGCAGCCACAACATATTGGTTTATAGCACACATCAAACCAGTGCCAAGTTAGGCAAGCAAAAAGCAGAATAAACAGAACCCTTTTCCCTGCATCATGATTAATTAAGAAGCAGCAAAGGTTTTATTTCATCATGACTTGAATTTGAAACCATGCAAAATTCCTTTCGGGAATCAAAGGCTGTCATAGTTTGCCTGTCCTAACTCTGTCATAAGTAGACCAGTTCAGTTTAGCTCTGTCAGCATAGCCAAATGATAATACGAGCCTACTCTTCTACTTCAGACCAAAATCATCAACGGTGGAGTTCATTTCATCCACCCGTCCATTCATCACCAATTTTACGCAGACATTCCTGCTCTCTCTTTGTATGTTTGCTACCTAAGCCACCATTTTTGAACAGCAGAGATTGGAGCGTTCAAGAATGGGCAGTAACGGCTCACAAGTGGGTTCACACTCCTCCCGATCTTGGTCCACACACTTTGATGATACCCAGCAGTAACTGGAGCATGGTACATCAGCTTCAATAGCTGCCCACAAAAAAACCAAACAAACAACAAAAGCAGCAAATGATTAGAACCACATTCACCCTTGTTCATCCCAAAATGAGAAAATGGACCTATATTGATATTTGTGAGACGATGCCAGTTTGTCAATTTTAAAGTCTAAGAAAGCAGTCAATCCTTTCAACCCGGTTCAGATATACACAGGAAAAGGCATAAACTATGTTTAAGCTAAGTTCAAAAGGGATGGATCATCAAGGAATAAATTTCTTTATTTTACCTGCCAGTACATGAATGTTTGTATTATGTTTCGTTGCCACCTGGAAATGCACAAAAGAATCTTAGTAAAATCGTTCCCAAATACAGGACAAAAGAGGAAAGAGAAGAGTGAGGCATTGTAAAGAGGGCATCAAGCATAGACAGGCTTCCCCCAAACTTACGAGAACAAAGACAGAACTAAGAGGAACCCAATCCCAATCTCTGCATGTGAAGATAGAATACTAAGGGTGGTGGTGTTTGATTCCACCCAGACACAAGGGTCTTCAAGGTACCTCCTATACAAGTAAAAGCAGGACATGGTCATACTACACAAAATTCAAATATGAAGATTGAGCACAGATTCAACCGAAATGTAAAACAAGATCTCTACCTGTACAAGGAGGAACTGTTGAAGTTACGCCTCAGGAACTTAGCAACATTCAGCAATGCACGGCATAGAATAGGGATTAATGCAACTGCTCAAACAGTTACCATCATTAGCGCAAATCACCCAACGAAGCCAGTGAAACAAAATTCAGCACAAGTCCCAAAAATAAGAATACTCACACATGAGGCATAAATTTGAAGTGACAAAAGTCAGGCAGTAGATGAAGTAGATGAAATCTTTGGTTGCAATTATTGACTGCAAATAAACCTGCAAAGCCTGCAAATTCCATGCCCTAGGCCTCTGCAGAAAATCAAGCTTTGTCAATGACATATAAAACAAGAATTTGGTGGGTGTAGCAAAAGGAAAATAGGCAGTACCCCATATAGCATGTACAGTGAATACAGTGATGAACAAGCAGTCCCCATGAATGAAAGACGATATGCTCTATTGGAGAGACTTCTAGGCACAAGAGGGAAGATTGCCAGCATAGCCACAACAAAAACCTGCACCACAACAATCAAGCGCTTAAGGTGACCAAATGCATGTGAAATGGAGTAGTACAAGAAGACTTGTGACACGAATAATTTTCACACTCGATAATTTGGCAAGGCTTCAATCAACAAGAAAGATGAATAACCTCAGAAAGGGAAGTTCATATACACAGCACTTCATTCAAGCTCTAAAACCCAAAAATTCCTAAGCCATACGTTACTCCCTTGTCTCTACATGATAAGGAGGACATCACGCTCCAAAAGGGCTTCAGAAGCCCGGGGATATACTATCTTCAATAACCGATAAAGACAGTGACTCTCCCTCTCAAGCATGTGAAACTTAACTACATCCAGCATCATGAATCACTTGTTGTACCCTGAAGGAACCAAACATGAGAAAATGGAGCATACTACTGAAGCTATTTAAGAGCTCAAGCATGTTCCTACATGTGATACTTCTGGACACCATTCAAACCTTTGGAGGCATTCCACCATCAGACAATAGTAAAAAGCTAAGTAAAGTCAAGCTCTGCCTTTTCAATTCCCGATCCTCGACTTTACAAGGTGGCAATCCACTATAGTATTTAACACACTTTCCAGACAGAAGAGATAGTATCTACTAGTTCACTTCTAATTAAGCAGAATTGACACTAGCAGAACTGAAGCAATTTCAAATTCGTAAATATTGGAATGCCAACTTCATGAGTTTTTTCTTTACTTTTCCATGCAGAAAAGGCATCAGAGGAAATTAAGCTGATTTTTTGCTCATGTTCAGACAAGAAGAATCAATCTTCAGGCACTTTCTTCTAACTTCACGTACCACGTTAGTTGGAATCAGCACCAACAGTTAGCCAAAGACAAAGCCTATAAGTTCATCGCTTCATGACACCTACCATGAAACCTGAAACCTAGACTTGCATATATCAAATACATACTCATTCCATCAACCTATCGACCAATGATAATAAGCACATCAACCACAAGTGTGTCATCCTACTTTGACAAAAATGTAATAAGCATTGATAGAACATAGAGTTACCATTCAAACCAAGCACCCCAAACTTGGAACAGTGTCGAATGACACAGAAACTGTATGTCAATACAAAAAGGAACGAGATCTGAAGCTTCAAATTCAAAACAACGATTGGACCATATGTTTCAAAAGTTCTGCGCGTGTGCAAAGCAAAATAGATTATTAAAATAAACATTACACTTTGATTAGCTCATCAGCACTAAATTAATAAATAGAAGCAATGGTTATGTTCAAACTCAATAAATTAGTTGACTTTTACAAAAATTAAGACACTAAAGGCAACCCCATAAAGAAAAACAATAATCCTTACATCACCGTTAATATTATTTTCACTTTGATGTAAGACACTAAAGGTTAGTGAAACAAGTACTGCTTTAACCATAAACTCAGACTTCGCTTATCTATCAGCATGATATTAGAAAAGTGAAGCAATATTTATGTCTGAACTAAATACATTATAAAACTTAGCAATCCCACAAAGACTTATATCATGTTCAATATTTCCCACATAAATGTAAGCTGCTAAAGGTTAGTAGAAGCAAGTACGGCAGAAGTATAAAAGAATAGCAATTTACCCAAGCGTTGATGGAAAACTGTATAGTTTGGCGATCCCAGCGTACTGAAGTTAGATTTTGGCCAGCAGCCGGACTTGCTCCAGAGTTCGTGGTAGTTGAACCTGAGAAATATTGATACGATTCAATTAAGTAAGCTGGTTACTAGCATGGTTTATTGATTATATATGTTCTTTTGTTTGCTGCTATACATCACTTGGAACAGATATATGACCGAACTTCCGACCTGTGTTTCGCTGTCGAGGTTGTTGATTTGAAGATCCCGATGGTGATGATGAAGCAGCAGCAGTAGCAGATTTTGTAGATTGAGAAGCGCCGGTCGAAGACATAGCTTCAACTACAAGATCAGGATCCTGCCAACGCAACATGTCATAATTCTATCATCCAAAAGCAAGTATTAATACATCAGCACATAAGCATCCTATCTGAGCATAGCACCATCATCAAAGTACAATAACTCGGATTGTTGGGAGAGGTTCAATCGTGGATCATATACCACAACACTAACACGCCCCCCTCAAACGAAATCCACTCACAAGGCTTGAAGTTTGCACAGGTCTGAAGACAAGAATACCATGTGCTTAACAAATAAGGGTCACCGGGAATCGAACACAAGACCTCTCGGTCACAGAAGGCTCTGATACCATGTCAAGAACCAGTTGATCTCAATAACTCGAATTGTTGGGAGAGTTCAATCGTGGATCATATACCACAACACTAACACATACAACAAAGTCATTCCATGGGGGCGCTACACCAATCGACCCAAAAGTCAACACAGCAGTAAGAAATCGGTAAAACCCAGGTCTTGCATTCACAATTCACAATTCCGACTACCAATAAGAAAACGGGAAGATAAAGAGCGAGAGGGGTCGAAGTGTACGAACGATGTAACGCTGGTAGAACTTGCGCTTGAAGTGCTGGACAACGTCGGCGCGAGAGGCCATGTGGGGAGGGATGAGGATGTTGGACCAGTAATCCGCCCATCTGGGGTCGTTCTCGTAATCGTAAGCCGCCGCCGCTATTCTCTTCAACTTCTGCGGATCCTCCCTCTCCTCGCCCATTACTACTTGAGGAGATTTTCCTACTGCTCAATGATCTTCGTGTGGGTCTGTAAAGGATGAATGCTTCACGGGATGATGTTTGCTCCTCCCAAATCGGGTCCGCCAAGAGAGAGATTCAGTGGGTCAGGAGGACTCTGGAAGCAGTGAAATTGGAGAAGGAAGAATGGAAGATTCCACCTTGCGCACTTCTTCGTTCGGTGCGCACCCTCGTCCGCCGGGAGAGAATGTAGAGGAAGGCAGACAGCAATTTTACCTTGGTGTCCCTCGAGATATCTCCCTTAAAACGACACTTGTTCCGAAAGAAACGACATAAACATTCTCCACTCCAGACCTGGCAACCGTTGACCCGACTCGAAACCGCCGGAAAATTCGAATTTTTTTAACCCGAAATTCAAATGACCCGAACCCGATAACCCGTGATTTTTTGGATCAGATTGGGTGGGTTAGCGGGTCGACCCGTTAGACCCGTTTCATTTTATATATCACTCCCAAAATGATAAAATGATTCATAAATTGGTGAGATGTTTAAAAAAAATCACAAGGATTTGAATGACATGTTTGGAGTTTAAGGATAATCAAATATCATGTGTTTCTTGTAGTATTATTACTCATGTGATTTTTTTTTACGATTTGTGAAATTTGTATTTCATTTCATTAGTGTGGGAGGATTTGAGAACGTGGGTTAAAAACATGTACAATTGTGCCCGAATCATATAGCAAGTCGCCAAGCTTGCATTTCGAACCCAGGATTGATAAAAAGACGCATGAATCATTAAGTTGACGATTTTATTCAATTGCATATCCTTTTAGCCAACGGAACAAGTGCAAAACGATGATTCAAAAAAAGTTTTGTTTGTAGGTTTAGTAAAATACGATACGAATTAGTCACATATAAAATATTTACGGATATTTTACTCAATCTCTAATCTAAGAGTACTTTTAATAATATGTCAATAGTTACAAAAAAACATAATTAATATTTTACTCAATCTCCAATCTAGTGGTACATTTAATAATATGTCAATAATTATAAAAAACACAATTAATTATTTAAAATTAAATCAATATATAAATAATAGTTAAGTTAGTAATTTAATTAATTGAATATGGATATTAACCGTGTTATACGGATTTTATATGTGCTTAGTACTGGAGCCATCAAATGAACGAGAAAGAAATGAAACAGCTTGACAATAATATGGATATAGAAGTTTTAAACGGATAAAATACGTACGTCCATACATGCTTGTATTAAATGGAGTATTTATTAACTATATCATACCACGTGTTATGAAAGTGTATCATGGTGGTATGAACATACAAAGTGTATAATGGTTGAATACATGATAGTAGGAATATACGAACTATCATTTATCAATCATCATTGAGTACCGTAAGTTACCACCCCTATACTAGGGTTGTACAAAGCGTTACATTTTGGTCTTATATTTTTTTCCAGAAACTTGTATATCTAATAAACTACGATGAACTCGTTCCATCTGTTCAAAAAAATTCAAAATTCGAGTTAAAAACGAAGGTGGTACCAAGGTAGTAACGAGTGATATGAATTTTTTTGTCAAAATATATTGAAAAAAGATCTTATTTTGTATATCACAACAAACTTGTTCTATCCGTACGAAATTTTTTGAAATCCAAACTAAACGATGAAAATAAGAGCCAATTAAAAAACATTATTGTCACCCTACTGGACTTTTTCGGTCCAACTCAAAACTAAAGACCCAAATTTGGTTATGCAAGGCATAGGAAAGGCAGAAAAACCCACCACTCCGGCCTTGCATTATTCTTATTCAGGGCTTAATACAGACCACGTCGAAGGGCAATAAGCCAATAACAAGTAGGAATAGAAATTTCGATTCGACCCATTTTATCCAGTTTGTTTACTCTTTTTTGGGTGGTTTGGGCACTTTCATAGTTCTGACTCTCACATTTTCGACCCGTTTTTATCCAAATTACATACAAATTTATTTAAATTATTTAGGACATTACTTTTATTACATCATATTTTAGTTATAATGAAGTTGTAAATAGGCGAGAACCTCAATTCTAAAAAAAAAAAGTATATTATCATATTATAATTTGTTTCTTGAATTTTTAATATAAAATACAGAATTTTAATGTTTTCCGTTTAAATTGTATATTTCTACTAATCGACTTGTTCCGATCCACACTCGTGATAAATTGCATGACCTAGAACTAACTTGCTATTAGGGGTGTACATGGGTCGGGGGGTTCGGGTTTAACCATTTTAATCACCCGACTCATGCACTACGGTTTGAGAAATATTAAACCCAAACCCACCCAAAAAAATTTAAACCCTACGGTTTGTTTCTAATTGGGTTGGGTAGGGTTGACTATATTTTTAAGTAAAAACCCAACCCAACACAAAATATGTAATTATTCTACACCATAAAAAATATTTTATAAATAACTAAATTTCAAACGAATAAACCGAGGTGAAAGGTATCAAATTTCACAATGTTGTTTCACTTTTAATAAAATGTGATTTACTTCAACATATGTCTAGTTTTTTCACAATATTTGTTGAAATGGGCTAAAAAGTTTATAAACTAATGCACCCATAATATGTTATTCTATTAAAACTGTACACAAGAAAAGAGATTACGTGAATTATAGCTATATTGAATTTATGTCTAATTTTTAAGCCGAAGAATGTATTAGATTAGGGAGACCATGAGAGAAAAACATGGCGAAATATCTTAATTTTCGCATAAGTATGACTATATATGACATAAATATTTTTGGATACGAACTCCTACCAATAGTTGGAACACAGGTTGGGTCGGGTTCTACGGGTTATGTAATCCAAAATCCAAACCCAACCCAACCCAATAGAGGCGGGTTGTACAAAAAAAAACCCTCACCTAACCCAAAACTTACGTTTTAGCGATAAATACGAATGGATTAGGTCGGGTTGGACGGGTGGCTCTGTTTACGACTGTGTTTGTTCACCCCTACTTGCTATGAGGCCAGTATAGGTATCGCGTCATGAATCTGCTCATAACCATTCCTACAAGTGTGGCATATACAAACAGTATACAAACAGTAGCAGAGTTGGGAGAAATGGCTGACAGTTAGGAATACATAACACATTACCAAGTACAAATTACATAGATGGCTTCCTCAATCAGTCATTTTACTTCGCGAGTATTTCAGACCCCTTCAAGGCAGCATCTACTACACTTTTACTTATTTTCCGTGAGAGGTTCTTCGAGACACTGTACATCCACAACACGAAGACAGAAGTGACATAGACCAGCAACAAACCTAGAGCAGAACAATCAACTTACATACACCAAGAATCACAAAAATCTAATACAGCTAACTCCTCGAGCAACCAATACATAGTCGCTCAAATTCAACCCTGAACTCATCACCGAAACTTGCTCGATAACTCACTCTTCCAGTTGGACTGCTGCAATTGCAAGTGCAGTACTCATGTCCTCGAGCAAAGATTCCTTCTCCTGTTCAAGTTTTATGACCTCATCCATCATTTCATGTGCATTCTCCATGATTTTCTTAGATTCTTCCATGTCTTCTGATATCTTGACCACATGGGCATGGTCTTCTTGAGTCTTCACCTCATGATAAGCCAGTTCTTGCTCCATTCTAAGAAGCTCATTCCTCATCCGTTCCACCTCTTTAGAAAGAGACTCGTATTTAAAACTGGAGGACCTGTGTGCAGCAACAGCATCAGCATGGAGTTCAGATATACCATCAAACCGAGCTTTCTCCTCATGATAAAAATCCAAGAGTTCCTGGCTAGAAGGCTTTCCATGAATTAACTCATCTATCCTTGCCAATCTTGATGCATGCTCAATGTACTCATTCACACTGTGGGAGAATGGCTCATAGTCGACCAAATTAGAACGCCATATGTGAAAGGTGTCATCTGCCAGCTTTATCATTCTTTCATGGTCGGCTGGCCCCAAGGACCCAAGAACATCGAGCAGGGCTTTGCCGTATGACTTCAACAACACCCTCGGGAAACATTTGTCCTGCATTTCCGTCATACTAGAAGGTTCTGAAGAAACTCGCCCCGACATTTGTCTAGCTAACGAGTGAACTTGCTTTTGGGACTGCATGACCGAACCTCCATTAATTGGCACAACAGCAACAAACTCATGGGCAAATAGATCAAAAGACGGGAAAACACCTGTTAAGAAATGTGAGTCAAGAAAACAAACTTTTGGGCCCCAACATTAATTTAGGGAATAGAAGGCCAGTACTCACAACGCACAGCTGCAGCATCTTTGAGGCTCTGGGAAGGAGAAAATGCAAGCTTTTTCAACCAACCATGTGCATGATCATATAGAATCTGATAAATGATTTCTGTCATAGAAATGGTAAAAGTAATTTACTCTATGATTCTATTTCCTCTTGTTGACAGTACCACATTGTCTCCAAATAAGTTGAGAGCTCAAAATTTAAGCATATAAACAAATACCTTGTTTAAATGCACCTCCTGAAACAGAAATGAGCCTCTGAGTTTCTGTTAGCTGGATACAAATATCAGAGGTTGTATAAGGAACTGAAACCCCATTATCTATTATGGAATCCAGAGACTCTCCTTCTTCCATGGCTAAGTCAATAACATCTGTGACTTCAACATCCATCTCGGCATTTGAAGATTCACTTCGGTTAGGCCTAAATAGACTGTTCTCAGTACTAGGATTAGAACGCGTCCGATTCATTATTTCAGTTACATGACGATCGGCCATTTGAGTAAATTCACAAGCTCCGAAACCCTGCAGCGTGTAAGTTGGCACCAGGGATGAAAAAACACAGCAAAAGGTAGAATAACGAGTCTGATTACACTAAGTGTCGTAAGCAAAGGAAATTCAAGATAATCAGAATGAATCGAAGTCAGATATCAGAATGAATCAATGTCCATGCAACCTTGAAAAATCCAAACCATCAACAAAGGAACAAAACATACAAACAGGAAACACTGGACCCAAGTACTATATAGTGAGAAGAAAACACCAAGCGTGGACAAGTAACCTAAATTCCTGGCATGCAGAGCCAACTACAAGAATCTTGCTTCTGTTTCAAACGGCACTAAGTAGCACAACTAGGGTTTCAAGTCAGAACAACTGTTCTAGTTCATCAAGCGTAGCTGACAATTCTATTACTAGGAACTAGGTGGAAATCTAACGAGCGGTTAAAGAAAGACTCAGTCATAACCAAAGCGCAGAAACGGGGGAAAACATTGCAGATACAAGCAAGAGGTACCAAAAATCAAAGGACATGCCTTTTTAATTCTGCAGGCAAAATACCATCGACCCGTCGACTCTTTGTTGAGACTACATTTCCCAGCACGACAGGAACAGTTAGGAACGTCGATTGGCACAACATCATGTACCCACTTGAAGAACCTGCAGCCTTCCTGAAAGGCGAAACCAGCAAAATGAAAACAGACAAATGTAAAGGGGGTTAAAGCGAAGAACAATGGAGATGCAAGGGAGAAGAACGAGAGCTAGCTAGTGAAGGGCGTGGTAGCAGGAGGAACATTACGTCGTACGGCGGGTGGGCATTCCCAGGGCAACCATAAAACTTCCAACTTAAGTGATCATTCTGTTTTTTGGTAGTCTTGACAACACAAGCACCGCGGCCACAGGGGCATCGAACTACCGGTAAATCGAACTCAGGGTCAGGGGACGGGTTTGCTTTGGCCTTGGCCTTGGCTTTGGCAGGACAATTTCTGGCCCAATGCCCCGGTTGATTGCAGTTAAAGCAAGCGCCGGATAGGGTTGGACTCCTACCTTGAGCTACGTAGACATCCATCGCCGGCGACGGAGGAGAAGTGGAGGAGGATGACGGAGGAGGTGGCGCGTGAACTGCACCAGCCATGCGTGTCGACTATTTCTGCCCTTGGATGAAAAACCCCTATTAAACTTCTCCTCCTCTGCCTGACACCGGCGACCCTTGGTTTGGAGGTTACCGGTGGTAGCGTACTCAGGAATATCGGTGGTTCTGGGAGAAGAGGGGTGTTGGGGTTCTTGCTTCCTTCCTTTTTTTTTGCCTTTGCACTCCACTGAAATTAGAGGCAGTAGCGGCTACATATGGATTCCATTTCACTACCACCGACAACGGCCGTACCGGTAGTCTAATCACTGTGATCAATAATTTCTTGTTGCCACTGTGACTGTAGTGAGTGAGTCTGCACAATTGCAGCCCAAAGAGACAGAGGACCCATTCCATCCCAACGGCACTTTCAATATTTTTCTTGCCATTGCAGTGAGTCTGATCAATAATTTCTGGTTACGTTGTACCCATTTTCAAGATGTCGTGCAAAAAATTTCATACTCTCTTTGTCAACTTCATATCATATGGTATATCCTTCAATTTTAAGTCGTTTTTAAAAAATATTTGTACAAAATGAATATGTTTATCATGATTTATTGGATCTAAAAATTTTTGGATGAAAAAAATAGAAGACTAAAAAATACCACACTTTATCACCCTCGTATGGAGGTGGTATCTTATGGTACATAATATTGAAAGTTGTAAATGACAGTTAGTATACTCCTATTATCTTGTATTCAATCATCCTACAGTCTTGGTATGTTCATACCACCATTCTACGCTTTCATACCATATGATATGCTCTTATTTCAATACCAATCAATACTACCATGGTATAGACAAGTAAAAAATGTTTCAACTTTTTTGTTCAAAAAATATGTCAAAGTGATGTACTTTGAGTCAATAATATTATGCCACGTGACAATTCGTTTATTAAAATTGAAACAAAACTTGGACTCCAACAATAGTGAATAATGGAATTAGGAACGACGGGAAAGAGAAGGACTTGTCTAACGAAATACAACCCGGGAGAGCGACTCTCCTCTGAGAGAAAGTGGACGACATGCAAATCAAAACAACGGAGGATGGCTTCCACCACGAATGCACCGGATGGCAGAGATTGGTGGGGGTGGCGAGATCTGGAGTCCTGCATCGCGATTTATGAAGCGAGGTCGATTAATGGAACCCATCGATTAATCACATTCATTAGTGCAGATAATTGTTAGTGGTTAGCACATGTCAACAATTACCCCATCCTAAGCTAAGTTTAACATAAGATGACATTGTCGTATAAAGACAATCAAGGTCGTATTTTGCTCGAGTCCTGCTATCCTAGCCTAATTCTCACCTCGTTATTATTTAGTCGATCGGTTTGGAGGTTTTGTATGGAGGATTGGAGCGAATTAACTGGTCTAGAGATTGATAAAGCTAAAAGAAGGAACTTCGGGGAACTATCTCTCACCCTAGCCTAGGGCTACTATGTAATGTCTAGATACTTAGGGTTTATCGAATGTGGTGAGTGAGCTCTTTTCCGTGGGCTTCCGTGGTTATCCACACGCATCCGAGTATGCCTACCCTAACCACATATAAAGTCACCTCGATCTAGGCTATATTTATCTAGGGCATTAAGCTCGTAGCTCCTTTCAATGGATACTATCCATCATCCACATCGAGGTTTTATCCTGGGTTCTATCTAGGAAGGCTACATATGGCAGGGGTTCAGTCGACTCGACCATCATAAGTCCATATTCATACATCTAACCTCAAATTGCTTGATGGCGCATACCCATCTAACTCTAAGACTCCAAACCCAGCGTAGAAGGATAAAATAGGCTAGTAGAGAAGATTAGGGCGACTTATCCAAACACAATCAAAGATAGAATAGCACTAGAATCAACTAGATAAACACATTCATTAATTCAAACCCTAAAATATCCATACATACATAGTAAACCCTAAAACTAGAGTTTGGGGTTTAGAACCCCTAGTATCTTAGAGGACTACTCCATAAAAGAGGGGAAAAGAAATATAGAAGAAATTGAAGAAGACTTGGGGATGAGAAAGATGCCTAGCTCCTTCTCTCTTCTCCTTCCTTAAGCTTCTCTCTCTTCTCTCTCTCTAAAAACAGAAATTCTATCTCAAAATCAGCTCTCGTAAAAGGGGGAAAGGGGTCTTCTATTTATAGGTAATTAGAGAGCGGAAAAATTCGTGGCCGACAGGACAGAGATCGCAGGCCGGATCTTTAATGGCGAGTTCGCGATCTTGAAACACAGTCTTAATGGCCTTTGAGATTGAGGAGATCGCGGGCTGACTTCGCGTTCTCGCTCCACGAGTCATGACCGCGATCTTCTTCATGGTCAAAATTCACTATGTCCGTGATTTGACTGGGGAAACTCTCTGTTTCTCCTCGACTTATTCTTCGCAAAGTTCGCACCATGAGCCCTTCAATTTGCGGCCACGATCTTCATCTAGACTTCGCGGTCCATGATCTCGGCCGTGATCTTCTCTTCTAGGCCAAGATCTTTAGTCTTATGTCCCCTTGCTACACTTGTGACATTGTTTTGTACCTAATTTGCATATATCGTCTAACACACCCTAAAATCATATCGAATTCCAATAGGAACAAAATAGGGATGCAATTGACAATGTTCAAGCAATTATGCACATGAATTGGCACGAAACAAACCTCAATATGAAGGGTAAAATAACACCAATTTAGGTGTTATCAAACTCCCCACACTTAGGCATTTGCTTGTCTCCAAGCAAACCTACTCAAACCTAATGCAACATGATAGACAAATCAATGGAGAATGCACTCTAGTTCTTCATTGTTAAAGAAGAGTAGATGGAGATGAATGAATGTTACTATCATCTTACTGTGCAACCACAAACTCTCAGGTGAGGATCATACTTATTACCTTAGGACGAACATTCAAGGTGTGCTCCAGGGGATTCTCAAACAACAAATAAGCACATGAACTCTCGAAGGTGCTCTATATTCTCACTTTATATTAGGAGTTGTCGTTTATTGGTCTCCCGTTTTGACATTAATGTGCATTTCACCATGCTTTTGCAATTCTTTTGCAAACAAGCATATCTCCTTCATAACCAAGAGCGGATGAATCATAACCTTCCCTTTCAAGGTCACATATGGGGAAGTTGAGGGGTGGATTCGTCTTAGCCCGAGCACCACTTCCCAGCCTGCACTCCACATTGGGTTACCACACAAACTAGAGTTATGAGGTCTCATGAATCACTAAAAGGTACTTTGGACCTTGGCATGGGATATCGTGAGGAGGAAAGATGTGTGGGGGATGGTAAGTAGTGAAAGATGGTCGGGATGCAGTAATGCTATCCGATCCCCAAACATATCCTCGAAAGGGCACTCCGAATCCGTGAAGATTGGTTGCCTCTCACGTGAGAACCTCATTTTCATAAGATTATTCTCTCTTTTTCTTTCTTTTCTAATACGTACAAATTGGTAAAAGCTTTGAGTTCACTAGACAAACAAAAGAGAATCCCGTACACTTGTTCTTCCTAAAATAGAAAACATTATCGTCAACTCATGCCAGAGGAAGAAAATAGTAAACCCTCTCATACACCAGTACTCTAATCATGCAACTATCCCCTAGCGAGCACAACACATCAATCATCTATCAATTCAAAGCATATCGAGTAGGAGGTTGCAAGGAACAAGGTGTTTTCGAATCCTCAAATTTGAAAATTTTTGGGTAATGCATTCAAGGTTCCTAAACACTATCATTTAGCCACTCAACACCACAAACACACAAAATCGCTATCATACACTCCCATAACCATTCATCAACGTCTTACATTCATAAAAAAGGAAGGCTATTAATTATTCATGGCATATTCATCATGAACTTTTCAATCATGCAATGCATTCTCCCCACACTTAAGAGACACATTATCCTCAATGTGGGAGTTAAAGGTAGGATTCAAGAAGCGTTACCATAGGTGTTTGTGAGTCGAGTAGGTTACACAAGTGCAGGTCTTCATTGATCTAGAGAATTAACGTTTAAGCACACACATAAGAGAGGAAGAATGAGTTATCCATAAAAAAATATAAAAACTACTCTACCACAAACACATATTTTATTAAACATACTAAGTATTTAAAAATAAAATGATATAAAAGATAGAAATCGGCCCCTAGATGCCATGTTGTCTTTGATGTACGGTTGGAGCATATGGTAGTTTCAAATCGAAGGTTCTTTCATGCGAAGATGGTCCATCATAGCTCGTAGTCGCCTCCATTGGTTGATTTGTTGTGCTTGTTCCTCGATTTGAGGTTATGGTACTTCTCTGGGAAATTTTGGTTCCTCTCATCACGGGCGGTTCCAGTTCCTTTGTTGTTAAGGGCTAAGAGAACTAGCACTCTCACCCTCAATTAGGTTGGATAGCCATTAGACAAGAAAAGTCACAAAACATGTTCAAACAAACCATTAGGAAACTCACTAGATCAATTGAACAAAAAAAATCAATCCTTAGGTTCACTCTATACACCCCCACACTTAAGTGTTACAATGTAGAGACTAGAGGTGCATAGGTAGAAATGCATGTTGTAATGACTAGGGTCTAGATCTAGATGCATGAAAACAAGGGCGACATGTCTTTCTAGAGGTGTCTAAACCTCGTCCGAAGGCTAGAATCAACTCATTAGACAATAACCTAAGCTTGAAGTCTTGGCTCTAAAAGCATAACGAAGCATAAAATCAAAAGTAAGCCAAAATTTCAAACTCAAGTAACATGCATCAAGGATTTAATCCTAAGTCATAAACACACTCCTAAGGGTCTATCTTAATCAAAAAGTTCAATTGAAAAGCAATAGATCAAGAAAAACAAGTTTTATGTGGTTTGGGCATTTCATCGAGCACTTGGTGGGCGGCATTCAAACTCCACAAATTCATAAAGATAAAGCCCACCAAGGCCTCCAAACACACTTACACAATCATAAGCATGCATTCTATGATCCTATTGCAGTGGCCATGCCATACCCTCGCTCTAAGTAGCTTAATTGGTAGTATAGGCTAGCACACATGCTCAACACAACAAGAATTCCAACCATTCCTCAAGCAACTAGATAATCTTCAACAATCATGCATAATATGCATAAAATACTTGACATTGAAGGGATTCTTTCACTAAATAACACTATAAAAACTATTAAAGCAAAATCAAACATGCAAGTTTATTTGGAAAAAGATAAGGAAATGTAAACCGGTTGTTGGGGTACCTCCCAACTAGTGCATCTTTTAAGTCTTATTGCCGGACGATTATCTTCAAGCATTCGGTCCAACTTAGAACCTCTTTGAAGTTGAGGTTCTCGTCAGTGAGGTGGGGTCTCAAGTCCTGAGCAAGGGATGCTTCAAATGATGTGAATGCCCCGTGGATTTGGTAAGAATTGTGTCGCCACCCACGAGACCTCTTCTTCTTTTCTTCATCTCTCTTCTCTTCGCCCCAAACCATGTAATACAAACTCGATTGAATTCCATCGCATCCACCAAGAGGGATCACCGATGGTTTGGCCTTGGTTTGGCAAAGATCCTCAAACGGCTCCTTCTCCAATAGCGCATCGAGGTTGGGTGGAAAGATTTCATAGTACTTGTAACTTGTAGATGCTTCATCCACCACGACCTCGTCCTCATCTTTGACACCATTTGAAACTTCAATCTTCCTTCCTACTTCTTCAATTTTTTCCTCCACTTGGAAACAGTCAAGGTGATACGAGCACGGAACCTGTACCCGTAGTTATCAAAGTAACGCATCAAAGAACATGGATAAAACGATAGGGATAAGATGGAATTGAAAGTGCAATCTCAACATAAATCGGGAGAAGGCTCAATCAATATAGAAAGGTAGAATCTCGACCACAATCAAGGGGAAAACTTGATTGATACAGAGGAAAAAATTCAAGCCTCAAGATAAAAATCAATATTCTACTAAAAACTAACTCTAAAACCTGACTTTCAGCCTTTATATAGGTATGGAAAATTAAACATAACAAAAACAACTTAAAACCCTAATTTTCGTCACACAGGTCAAAATACCCGGTCATTACTAAAAATGTAAAAAACAGCCTAAAGATGTAAAAAAAACAAAGCAAAGAAACTAGCTAGATGGACAGCACCATCCCTGCTAGAAAGCATGCGGAAATAATTGACAGAGAAAGGCAGCCACAATACAAAAAACATAGACTCTGAAGCTCCTATTTGGAGTATCATCCAAGAAAACACAGCTCCTCAAGAGCAAGAGAGACCACTTCCAAAAGAACATAAGCAAACAGAATAGTGTGCCATAGTTTCGGACCTAGAGGCAGTAGAGTAGCAGACAAACAACAAAAATCAAAGGGCAGTCAAGGCAGAGCTTCAAAGAAAGAGCTCCCCTTGAATGAACAGGAGCTCAAGCCTTATCCCCAAGTAGAAGGATCCACCACATATCATTCTAGAACCAAGTGAAAGGTCAGGTCCATGTCCAAATCAAAACAGGTCCCACCAAAACCGAGAGCAGAAGCTAGAGGTGAAGAAGCAACACATGATAAGTGACAACGCAACAATCAAGAGAAGCCACAACAACAAAGGAACCTGATTTACATCCTGGAATAGTAATCGATAAGCCATTAATATCCTTGTTTCTTATCAACTTTGCCAAAAGCGACTAACCAGTTGATAAAAGTCCTCAGAATTTGACCGGAAATAAGACTCGAAGACTGTACTTTGTCATTAAAAGTACGTTGATTAAGTTCTTTCCAAACAATTCATATCATAGGGTGCAAACAGAAGAAGATGAACCATTGATTAATATTGTTCGAAGCTCGTGACGACCAATTCCTTATCACAAGATTAATGTCACCAGTTGGTATTTGAAGTGCAGTACATCCCCTTTGAAGATGTCTCCATACTTCCGTAGTAAAAACACAAGAGAGGAAAAGGTGGTCGCTGCTTTCCTCGTCCCGATGACACATAACACAACACTTGGACAACGCCCATCCTCTCCTTTTCAAATTATCAATGGTCAAGTACTATTATTTGAGACGCACCAGATGAAGAAGCAGATCTTAGAAGGAATGATATGCTTCCACACTAACACGTAAGGGTAATTCTGAATGTCAGGAAACTTGTCCTAGATCAGCGCTTCGTACATGCAAGTAACGGTAAAGGTGGACTCTGGTTTTGGTTTCCAAATAATCCTGTAGGGACTGTTAGCAACACAACTAAAATCCAGGGAATTAAGCAATTGCAAAAGGTCTAATCTCTTTCTTTCAGCTCCCCCTCTCAAGTTAAAATTAAGGTTAAAGTTCCAACTCATTATCTCACTTGAAAAGGAGATAATGTCTGAGATTTGAGCATCAAGAATGCGGCAGCAGTAATGCGCGGAAAGGCAATAGCAAGTGTGGTGTCGGAAACCCAGTAGTAATGCCAAAAAGAGACATCCACTCCACTACCGGGATCAATGCGAGCAACCTTCTAGAATTTATAATATTCCTTTGAAATATTCACCCATACCGAGCTAGAGACACCAAATTTGATTCGTCCCGTTTGCCAGCAAGACAATGGATTGGGGTATTTGATGGCTATAAGTTTCCTCCACCAACTGTTTCTTTCAACTGCAAACTTCCATAACCACTTCGATGAAAGAGAGTTGTTGAACATTTCTAATTCAATAATCCCGAGACCACGAGAAGGTTTAGAGGCTTTACACAGATTCCACTTTATCAAGGCCCTTTTGTAGACATCTCCAGGACCATTCCAGATAAAGTTCCTTTCAATCTTTTCCATACTTGTAATACTTCTCTTTGGTGCCTTAGAGAGTGAAAAGTATTAAGCAGGGAGGCTCGAAAGGACAAACTGTTGAGTGTGAGTCTCCATGAACGATGATTTAAGCATCAAGGAGAGCATGTCCATAACAAGAAGGAAAAGTCTTGAAGAGAGGGGGTCTCCTTGATGTAAACCTTTCTAAGCAGGGAAGTAACCTTTTGCTTCACCGTTAATCAAGATAGAGAGAAAAGGTGAGCATACCGCCCCTTTGATCCAGTTCTGCCCCTTGGGTGGGAAACCCAATTTCGAGAGAACCTTAATCAAGCAGGCCCAATTTACATTATCAAAAGCTTTCTCGATGTCTAACTTGAACATCAATCCAGGTTTCCTGCTTCTACGTGGCTATCCACGAGCTCATGAGAGATAAAACCAGCTTATGAAATTTGTCTACCTTGACAGAAGCTTGTTGATAGGAGGAAACGAGGCTCAGAAGGCGCATCCCAAGTCTTCGAGCTAGTACCTTATTAATATGATTATTGGTGCTATACCCATAATCCCAATAGATCTTAGATCTTTAACTTCTTCAACAACTTCCTTCTTGGGAACAAGGCAGATGAAAGAATGGGCGATACAATTAGGAAGCCGACTAGTTTTATAAAATTCATCGAAAGTTCTAAGAATGGCATTCTTAATGCATGACCAATATTTTTTTTATAGAATTCAAGGGAGAAGCCGCCAGGACTGGGAGCTTTATCACCATCGCAATCCGGCAAGCACTTTTGAATCTCAGACTCCGTGAAAGACAAGCAGAGAATTGTGGAACCAAAACCAGAAATCTGTTTGTCGAAGGAACAACCAGGAAAAGTACGATTCTTGACATCTTCATGAGAAAGATTTTGGTAGAGTCCAAGAATACCCTGAGTAACGGCTTCATCACCAACCATAGCCTGGCCATTAATCATGATACGATCAATATAGTTTAGTTTTATTTTGTAATTCCCCACCTTATTGAAGAATCCACTACCTGTATGTGAATATTCCCGAACACCTATTTATTCCAAATTTTAATATTCTGCTTCAAATCGTGCAATCTCTTTGAAGAAAGGAACACATTACCAAAGCCTTGTATCGGGGATTGGAGCCACAATACCTGTTCCTTGTAAAATATGGCATCTTTAACACACATGTTTTCAAAGCGCCAAGGTCTCTTAATCCTCTTAGAATCGCCCCACTAGATGAATAAAGGATTATGATCGGATTCCACTCTCTTAGAAGCATTGAGTCTGCAATCAGTGAAAATGGAATCGAAGCCAAAAGAAATGAATGTACGATCCATGCGAGACAAAGAGTTGCTGTTATTTCTATGCCTCCAGGTAAACTTGCTCCCCCTAAGGGAAGTTCAAATAGTGCATTCTTGTCCACAAAAAAGTTTAATTCATCCATCAACTCCTGACAACGCCTTCCTCCTTGTTAGTCATCATGATCCCTTACCATATTAAAATCACTAGAGATACAGTAAGGGTTAGCTTGTTGCTTACAGAATAGGTCTAATCTTTTCACAAACTCCAACTTATCAGACTTTTCTTGTGGTCCATAGATTGTAACTAGATTCCAAACATATGTGGTTTTGAGGTCTTTGAATTGAATATCCAAGTAAAAAGTTCCTTCCCTGCTAGAAAATTTCTCAAAATGCAGCTTATCCCACATAACAACAATACCACCTGAACTACCAATTGAGTCTTTAGCCATCCAACCTCAATCTCTTCCGCCGTTACTACTCACGAGAGTGTCAATACAAGCTGACCATTTTGTTTCAACAAGACCAATCATCTGAGGATTCTTCCGATTGATGAGCTGTTTACTCCGACCTCTCTTATCCACATCACCCAGACCTCTAACATTCCAGATGAAGATAGATTTACCCATAAATAAAATTAACCAAGAGAACTTCCAATGCTCAACTTCTTGCACCTCCTTGGTTCGGAAGGAAGAGATACAATTGGGCCAAGACGGTGAGTCTCCATATCCAATTTGGATCGCAATCTCTTAATCTTTGTCTTGTGCATTGTCTGAGCTATCTGAGTAACCAGGACGTCAACTTGCTCCTGCGGTTGATCATCCTCCAAATTAAGGATACGACTAACCGTCAAACTGGATTCAATAAGGGTCGAAATGTCGAACGAATAACAATAAGGTGGGTAGTGACGAGTGAGGGTTCAGACTTGAGAGAGGGAGACAAAGGTATCTAAATCTCGAAATTACTCTTTTTTTTTTGTTTCTATTAAATTTCGGAAGATGTCTTTGTAAATATCATACATAGACATCTTCTAACAACTCGAGTTATTGAGATCAACTGGTTCTTGATTATTGGGACCCAATTAACAAGTTATTGACAGTCCTAATTTTGTTTGTCTAAAATATTTCGTGTCAATTGTTACATCATAATTAACATACTTTCTGTTAAACTCATAATTAACGTACTTTCTGTTAAACTTTAACAATGATAATTGACCGAACGAAAACATCGGAATATAAATAGTTAGAACACAATTCTAGTGATACTAAACAGAAGGAAAAACAGTGAGAATTGACCGAGCAGGAAAAAAAAAAAAACAACAACAACAACAATCAAACTCAAAGTTAGGATTCTCGTGTATCAAACTGAAAATAACTCTGCTCCCAGACAGAGCACGGCCCTGTTTGCAAGCTTGCGACATGACAGGCTCGACGAACGCCCAATTATTCCATACTCAAACCCAGCAACTACTATAAAAAGAAGAAAAAAATCGTCAGTTCCTCGTCATCTCCACCCTCATTTGCTGATCCCCTGCTGCCACTTCAACAACATGCGCACCACCACAGTTGCCTTCCTCCTCCTCCTCCTCCTCCTGCTGCTGCTGCTTTCCTGTTTCACAGTCCACAACTCTCCTTTTCGATGAAGCTGAATCCTTGTAAACAAAGTAGAGTACCATCTGAGCTACCCCAAATAGGAACCCCAGCACATTTGGCAGCTGCAATATCGATCCAACACACAGAAATTATTCAACACCGCTTGGATAAAATTGAGCTGAAGGGTAGTTTTGGGGTTTCTGTGTGCTACTCACTGCAATGTAGTAATCGTTGACCAGAAGTCCATAGAAGAACCAAGCCGTCGCACAAAGGGTGAGGAACACCGACAATGAAAACGGCATGTACTCCACGCTCTTGGTCTTTATCACATTCCTCTGCCGCCACCACCACCAACATTAACACACGATTGATCATCAACATAGAATAGCTAGAGAAACATAGTAAATCACATTTCTCTGCAATATTTGTTTGTTTACCACTACGCTCAATGGCGAAGCAAACACCGCTATGTTGAAGGCGGCACATATCCATCCAACTGCGTTCACCCTAGCGGATCCATGAACCAGAAAAACTGTGACGAGCATCATCAAGCCGTACGCTCCCAGGGAAGAAAGCAGCACCTTCAGTGTGAACATCTGACGATCGATCGAGTGTGGAAAACGAAACATGATCGTATCAGTCGATTTGTGTGGTAAGATGTGATAAACAAAGTTGGAAAGGATGATGCTATATTGCTTATATATATATATAGCTGCTGATCACCAGTTCTTTCTTTGGCGAGTAGAGAAGATAGAGGGAGAGGTAGATAACTTCAACGACACATCCGATTGCATTGATGGTGATGATGAGGGTTGCATTCGTCTTGAGAAATCCGTAGTACAACAGCAGCATTGCGCTCATTAGTGCTGTCAGGTATGGTATCGAGTGGAACCCTGTTGACGATTTCTTCTTGTAGCAGATGGTGTAAAATGTCGGCCTGTATTTGTATATATGAATGTGATCAAAAGGTGCAGAGAGAAACAAAATCTGGGCTTGCAAAAGAGGCCGGAAAGAGTTGTTGCAGATAGTTCTTACAGAGGAGCCAGGAACACCATGAATGAGATAATGTTGCCTGTAAAAAAAATGGGAAAGTGGTTGTGAGAGGGGAGGAAGTTGTACATGTTAATGATGATTATGCGGATTGTTTTGTGATCATTATTTTTACCCAAGAGGCCAAAGATGAGAGCAAGCTGCGCATGATTCAGCAACTTCATCACCATCTTTATTTTGAGCGGAGATGAAAGGCTTCCTTTGAATTTAACTAGAAGCTGGTTGTGAGTTTGTGTGTAGAGGAGTTGAGAGATGGTTGAGCTCTCAATTTATAGACGTTCAGCAACCAAGTCAAATGGATTAGTGGGAGTGTTCGTAGGGAGACCAGAAATTAGTTGGACCCACCCTATATTTGTTATCCACTGACCAGGGTGACTAGCTAGCTTGGGTTGGAGTTTCAGAAAACCATTTAGTTTTCCGTAGGTTGTTTATTTCGTTCTTATTTTATAAAGGTTCAAGAAGGCGTTAGGAGTAAGGCAGGTGTTGGCCTTTCCTAGCGTCTAGCTCGCCTAGGCATTGTCTAAGTGTGCCTAGGTGTTGGAAGGAAAATAGCTATTCACATTGCTTGATAAATGAAATAGTAATTTACAACACTTGATCGCTTCACTTAAAATGATTTATAACTTACTAAACACTTAATGATAAGAAAAATTGGCTCACAAATTTATAGAATTATGACTCAATAGCGCTCAAAAAGTTCTTAAGCTGTAAAAAATATTGATATAGAAAATTGATTTCGTAGTGAATTTTAATTTCTCATTTGATATTGACTTTATAGCTTCATCTAATTAGAGCTAGGAGAAACTTACATTCACCTTACTTTGTTGACGTGTTCCTAGCACCTAATTAGGCGCATAACCCTTAGAAGAGGCGTTTTGCCATTGCCTTGCGCCTAGGTGTGCCTAAGCGCGCGTAAGATTAAGCGCTTCTTTTTGAAACATGTATTTTATTAAGATGGGTAATTTTTAAATACAAAGTAATACGGAAAACAATAGAGGTGACAAATAGATTAGATTTATTGATTGGTGAATCCATGGATTAAATGTATTGGTGAATTGAATCATGGATTCAAATGACATCTAAACATTGGACCGATATGTAAATTTTGACTAGTTTAGATATTAAAATGTCATCATTAAAATTTTTGGCACCAAAAAGTGATTTTCAATGATAGTTTTAGTAAAAATAATTTTAGATACCAATTTGTTTAATATAAAAAGTATAGATATTAAACCATAATTTGTCAACAATCAATGAATCCACCAATCTAATTAAATTGGATCAAATGGATTAGATTGTTGGATATAAAAGTGGATAGATTGGATTGGATTGAATTACGAATTGTCACCTCTACTAAATAATATATAAGAATTCACACAATACAATTTTCAATTTTGTGAATCGGGAAATAAAAACCCTAAGATTGGTTCAAGAAAGTGGTTCAAGAAAGTGTGTGTTCAACCTCATATAATACAACGTTGAACCTACTGAGTCAAACTCTTATTAAAATACTACCCTTCTAATAAGAGTAAATTGGACTCGATGGCTAATTAGGCCTAATGTACGAAAATAGGACTTTATGTAAGAACAAAAAAAAATTTTTTGAATAGTTGGAAAATTCTTAAAGATTGTCAATCGATAAAATTTAAAAAATGAAAAATGGATTGCCGAAATATACGTGGTTGAAATACGCGTGATCAACCGACCTTTAGTTGAACAACCGTAAACTCACAAAGATTGTCGATCTATAAGAATTCAAAATTGGAAAATGTTGTTGTGTGGTTAGGTCTCCCCTGCCCCGCAGCCTTGCAGACACCCAAAAAAATTGGAAAATGCATGACCAATATATACGTGATCCGAATACGCTAGATCGACCAACTTTAGTTGAGTACAAAAATTGCCAATGAATCAAGATTCAAAAATGAAAGAACATAACCGGAATACGGGTCAAATACGAACAAAAATGTCAATATCATAATAGAAAAAATAAAAATAGTAAGATGTTCCCATATACGTGATATAAAGAAATGATAAAAGAAAGAAATGAGCTCACTAGCAAATGAAAGAAAAAGTGACAAAGAAATTAAAAAAAAAAATTATGCAAATACGCAATCTTGGTGTAATGCCACTAAAGTTCATAAAAATTGCAAAAAACCCACAGAATAGTTAAGTTGTAACCAATGCTTTTTATATGCCAAAAATGTGTCATCTCTTTTATTAATAAATAAAAGGAGGGAATGCATATCAAAATTCAAATTAAATCTTTTAACGGTAAACTAAAAAAACTTTAATATCATGTAAAACCCACTTACTAATTCGCAATTACAAAATTGTCGGAAATGTTTAAACACGTTTCTGTAGCTTTAACCTTACTGATACTATAGACGTTTGAGAAGGTAGCACCCGAGGTGCAAAGCTATCCTGTCTTTGCGTTGTACACCTAACCTGGAAAAAGTATATACGAACCTAATTACTTCCCTCCCGTGTTATCAAAATTTGACCAGTCTGGCTGGGAAAGAGAGAGCTTAAAGAAAACGTACGGCCGCCAGAGTGCCCATTTAATTTTTGGCGTCAATGGCTGCCTGCTGATAGTCCCGTCCAACTTTGAGGTGGGGAGGATCGACCGAACTGTACGTGTGAAACGTCTGCAGCTTTGTCTGGTGAGAAGTTTTCAGGCTATATATAGAAGTTTTCAGGCTATATATAGCTTTGTATGCTTCCAAATTCAGGGCATTACTACATCCAACTTTTTCAGTTTGGGTTCATTTCATAATTCATGGTTTGGTTTGGCTAGATTCAGGCACTCAAAAGTCGTTAAAGTTGAACCATGGTTTGGTTTGGCTAGATTCAGACCCTCAAAGTAAGTTTAAAGTTAATTACTCTTGTGAGGGTTATATATACACAAAGCAAAATAGTAAATTCCTAAGAGCTAGCTGTCGCATAATCTTAGTGCGGTTGTTTTCACGTCGGCTCGAACTCGTAACAAGTTTGAACAACCATCCAAAGCTCTTCATGGAAAGATTTCTTTGCGTCATTTGGGTTTCACTGAACATATGGGTTTCGATAAGAACGTGGCCACGATTATGAGTTGAACTAAGCAAACAAGCTTGGAGCCAATGAAGCCCACTTTATCAAATGTGTGTGAAGGAATAAGGAAGCTCAGAACCGAGGTTGTGTTTTCCAACCAGAACAACAGAGAGCTCTAGACAAAATAGAGTAAAAGATACTAAATGAAAGAGAAGAAAGATGACACACGCGATTTTTAAAGTGGTCCACTAAAATATAGCTACTTCATGTCCTGAAAATAGTACAGACTATTCTAGGTAACTCTTTTATTTATTTTCTCCTCATCGCTTGACACGCAATGATGGGATGCAGTGCCAAGGAATGAGGAGACCATAGAAAGATTTTTTTTGTAGTATTTAGCTCACTCAAGCGCACGCTCTTATACCAACGGTAAAGATCTAGAAATATGTCTTAGGGTTTGAAGAGAGGAAGGATTCTGTTGGGGGCATGGCGTGGGTACTAGCGTGGCCCGCCCCACGCAGATGTTGGTGCTAGCAGTACGGAAGAAGCATAAGCAAGAAAAAGAACAGCTAAGGCATGGAGCGGCTAAGGGCAATGCGCCAGGATGCGGAGGAACTCAAAACATCGTCGTGTCACTGACAAAGGCTCATGTCTCGAAGAGAGTGTGGTCAGAGCCCATATCTCCCACTTGCTCGAATGTCTCGTCGCATTTAATGTTGACCCACCAAAGTAAGGTCTATAAATAGAGCATTACTTTGGTGGGTGAGGAGATCGGTTTTTGAATTCTCTCTCTACCATTGTAAACATCTCTCTCTAAAAATCGTCTCTTTCTACTCTTTGTAACCTCTTCATGCCAATAACGATTTCTTTTACTCGCTCACCAATCTTGAGTGTCTCATTCATACGGCTCAGTTAGGCACAAACAATTATCGCCCACCGCGGGGCTGCGAGTGAAAAGAAAGAACAATCCAAACTACAATGTCAGGATAGGCTTCAAGCAACCCAAATCAGGCGACGCCAGTCAAAGCAATGACAAACTCAAGACTATTCGCGGAAACCAACAATCAGAACGCGGTGTTAATAGAGGAAGAGAAGTCGAAACTAACCGCCAAGGAAGTACACTAGCAAATGGCCAAACAAAACGAAGTAATCGCAGACATGCAAAATAAGATGAACCAGGTCATTACACTCATGAGAACAAAGAAGCCCCGCGGCAACGGAACAGACCCCTGTCGAGAGGAGAGCCCTCCTGAACCTCACGAGCAACGAGCAGCGCCACCATAAGGGGGGATATGAACTTCTTGGAGCAACATCTATCCCCGCATTATCGCGCTTAGCACAAAATACCCTCCATCAACCATTATGCGTGGAAATCTTGGCGGAACATCTAAGTTGAATCCCACCCGCCCTACCCACATACAATGGAACAATAGACCCGGAGGAAAATATCAGCACATTTTGTCTCTGAATGCAACTCCATAAAAATTCGAGCACAGCTTTATGCAAAAATGCGGCCGCTCCACCTCAAGGCCTTGATCGACATAAATCAAAATTATGGAGAGAGTCTAAGGGCGTTTTACGCTAGTTGGTCAAGAGATGTCATGGCAATGTGGGACAGAACACTGGAAACCGTCGCTCATCACCTGATGGAGGCCACCGTCAACATGGAATTGAAGCGCGCACTAGCCAAAAGGCTGCTTACGTCATCCTCAGAATTGGAAACTAAGATAGAGAAGGCTATCACCTTAGAAGAGACCCCGGGCACGGGGTCAGTACGGCGTTTCGAACCAACAAGGCAAATAAGAGAAGAGCAGGTGCAAAGGAAACCCCCTGTTGCCATTCATGCAATACCATAGCGGGGAAAGTTGATCGCTTGTTCCCGCGAAACAAATACCACGAAAACCTTCTCCGGATTGGCGCCCGCCTAACACATTCACTCCACTTAACGACACAGTGAAAAACGTGTTCCATGTCACATGTGAGAAAGGATACCATCTCAAATGGCCACCACCTGTAAAAGCCGCGCCTCACATGTGCAACATAAAAAGCACTGCGACTTTTGTAACACCCCACCCTAAAATCATAGGTCGAACCGATGATTCAACTGCGCAGCGGAAATCACTCGGGGTTTACGTTTTCAAAATCTCTACTCAATTCACATCCACATCATTCTCATATGTTTAAAATTCAACTCATCATAACAATTTACTAA